GGCTGCGTCATATCCGAGGATCTTGGGCGAGTTGAGTGGTCCCTGTCCGTTGGGGGCGCGAAGCTTGTAGTCGACGGGGTTGACGGACACGGCCTTGACGTGGACGAGCAGGTCGTGGCCAGCGATGTTGGGCACCGGGACGTTTAGGTCGACGAGGGAGGCAGGGTCGTCGATGGGCAAGTGGGCGTAGAAGCCCACGGCGCGCATGGTGGAAGGGATCGAAGCAGCCATAACTTTGAAAAGGAATTTCGTGGAATGAAGGTGGAATGTGACTTCTATGATACTGAAATTGCCAAAAGATCTAGTTTCTGTTCAATCGTAGGATTTGAGGGGGCGTTTCCCCAAACAACGTTGTCTCGAAAGACTATATCGAAGAGCACAGTATCAATCCTTGGTAGCGTGGAGATGCGGCGGTAATGTCATTGCGCGCCAGTAATTGCGCTGATGTCGAGGCGTAAGGATGGACAAACCGTGGCGTGTTTGCTTCTCAACATATTCCGCTGTGCTGAGTTGAAGAGGTTATTCCAACATGCAGCACATATATTGAAGCAAGATTCGTCGCGAAATTGCTCTTACTCAACTTCTCAACGCAACAGTCGATCCAATTTCAGTCACAACAAGGAACCACGTCGGTACGAGCGGGTTCGGACGCCCGTTGTGAGTTGTCTACGTCGACTCATCCAAGTCGTAGTTGTTTCGTCATATCCTTCGATGCCGTAAACTCCTTGGTTCACACACGGGACTGTATCACACGCCCGGAGGAAAGTTATTGGCTCCGGGACAATTCGCTTCCGAAGGAGCACAACTACAGTAATTGTCACTCCACCAGAACGCATTCTTATCCTGCACTATTTTGGAACTTCCCAACGGCAAATATCGTGTCTCAATAATCGAAGTTGTCGATTCTGCTTGAGCTCACGTCGTAGCTGGCAATGCAGTCACAATAGATGCCAGATTTGTCCTGTGCTTCGACCTAACTGCGCCAACTTGGTTTACTAACAAGTTATAGACGTTGTGTACCAATGAATTAAAACGTAAGAAACAGCATTGAAATTGCCTCTGGCAACTTTTGACTCGTGGATTTTGCGTCGCTCTAGTTCAACAAACCACACAATTGAAAAACGACTGTCGGCTGTGGGATTTGAACCCACGCGTACGAATACATCACGACCTGAACGTGACCCCTTAGACCACTCGGGCAAACCGACTCGTATGACAATGACAGTTATTTAGCGTAATATAGGTCTCACAAGAGAAGTAAAATTGATGCATTCTGTAGTCAGGGCAACAAACAAAAACAAGTTGTTGTCGTCCAGACAGAAACGTCTGTTAACTTGTACAACGCCAGGTGCGAGTTGACAAGTCCTCTTGTATATGTCACTTGTCATCATAATCGTTCCGCTGACAAAGAAGTTCAAATACCAGCTCCGATGACTAATTGCACATTTACATTCGTTCCAGCTACAGTATTCAAGGCTCAATAGAATAAACAAAGTAAATGTTTAAGTTCCTTCGATGAAAGAGAAGTCGGTTTGCCCGAGTGGTCTAAGGGGTCACGTTCAGGTCGTGATGTATTCGTACGCGTGGGTTCAAATCCCACAGCCGACATTTTTAGCCGTTGTGCCTAAAGCGCTCGCAACCGCGGTGGTAAAGTAACAGCGAAGTCAACTTTTGATGCACCATGAACGTGTTGCTCGACGTTGAGCAATTCAGCTATTACACGTATGGAAGGCGTCTATGAACAAACTAAAGGACAGCCTTCACCATTCTCTTCGTTCGACTCGTGGGGAATCCGAGTACAAAATTTGATATCTCGCCGCATTCAAGCGTCGGACTTCCGCAGCTTTCGGCCTCCTGTTGCTGCGCGTGTAATTCTTCCTGCGCTTCGCATCCTTCAGTTAATATTTGCCGCCGCATTTTCAACCGTGGACGGAGGTTATCCAGCCGAAGAAGGTAGGCTCGTGTCAGAGCGCGGAGGGTAGCGGGGTATCGCCTTCATACTGGACCGTGTTGTGCTGGGTCCAGATGAGGTGGAGGGTAGAACCCACGCGCACTTCAACCGAAACGTAGTCGGTGAGCTCTCCACCTTGCCAGCGGCAATGATAATTCAAGATTCACTATTCATCGGGGGCCATGACTAGTGGCAAAGCAGGAAGCTAATGTCGTGGACGATGCCGCCACCATGCCGAAACGTTGCCACAATTCCACTCGCACAGCGAGCATGTGTCCTTGGGCCACATAGTCAGCAATTCTTTACTACCACCCCATCGTGTGTCCGATTTGTCGTGAAAAATTGGACCTAGATGGCCCCCTGTAGTAGGCATGCGAAGAGCCTTCAGTCAGAGACCTATCACTGGAGAGCTCATGGGAGGTAGCCGTGCAATTTGTGATTGGTTGCGCTGCATGCGACCTCAGCGCAGCGGTGTGTGAAGTATAGCATGGACTTTATGCGTTGAGGATGGTGCGTTCCGAGAAGAGGTAGCCGTCCGTCCTCATTCACTACCTTTCGACCTGTTTAGATTGCTGGGTGGAAACGACTGTGGGCACGGGGACAACTCCCCCGATCACAGCCGTTGCTTCGGACGGGATGATCATAGCATGTCCCTCTGGCGCGACCAGCGTCGACGTGGGGACATGGAATTACGGCAAGGCCACACCCACGAATCAACTATCGTGGGTAGGAAAGCGAATAATCGTCGCCCACTTCTTGAGCAAGGCAGTTTTAATCGAATTGGATGTCTAATCGCGCATCGTAACGCGGGAGTCAACGCGAATGACTCGTCATGCGCGTCGGACTACCTCTTGAACATCTCGGCGTGAGACGGCGCACCAGTTCCCACTGTCGTCCGAGTACGAAAACAAGATACGTATTTCCTTCGTTGCCTTCCGCCTGTATTTGAAGGATGCATCGTGGTCCATTTGGTGAGCTTTCATGACCAGGTCGATGTCGGCTGTGGCGACGTTGCGCCATGTGACCTGAACGAGCTTCATGTTCAGTACATTCGGTGGCGCACAACCCACGCCTGGAGGACGACAGATTGCGACCAGAACTCGAACTGAGGCCCAAGCTCTCGAACGAACTCCCACAGTGGCGCGAATCAAATTGATGTGGAACCGCCCAAATTTGCGGCTATTGCACAGCACTAACGTGAATCCCGCCTTGGAGTTGGTTGATATGAAGAGACTTGCAATGCTATCTGAATCAAGTTCGTCTTTTCCTACGATCGAATCCTCCTCGAGAAATACCTACCCACGGCATCATTCTTCGGGCACAAACTGGGGGATGTTGGAGGGCTGTGAAAGCGAACGATATTGCCTCCAACCTCCGCCACGATGCACTTTTTGAGATGCTGACGACAACCCGCCAGTGGACCAAATTCAGACAAAAACACAAAACCACATTGGCAGCATCAAGTCCTTTCGATTAATCCCACCAAAAGCTGACGGAGAAACTAACGTCCAACGATCGAATATAATGCCAGCACCTTGGAGGGATGTACAGCATCTCACCTGGCCCAAGGACACCTTCCCAGTACGGAGCCTCAAGAAACCGCGGAAACTGCACGGCGTTGGCCTGCGCACCGTCTCCTTCGACTACGACTTGGCTCGTGTTGGAGAGGTACCCAGGGACTGGATAGAGGTGGTCCGAGAACGTCGAAGCGTACAACCGAACGTACTTGGACCCCACAATCTGGCAAAGTAAATTCTGCGCCGGGTCAAAGTGCAAGGGCGAAATGGTGTTGGGTGGTCCAAACCACGCATTGACTACCACATCGTCCACGTCGTCGTCGTCGTCGTCTGCGTCGACATCTTGGCGACCCCGGACGCTCAGAGCGCAGTAATCTGGCACGGCAATGTCCTTTCGAAGTTGGGGAATCTATCGCCACCCTTGCCAACTTTACATGCGCGTGCAAAGACAACGAAGACGCACCTGCTCGAACAACGCGTGCTGGGCCAAGTACCCTGTCGGCGCATTGTGTGAAGGGGGGTGCAAAATGTGCTCGTCGATAAATTTGTGCAGCGTCATCAGAGTTTGCGACCAGTTGTCCTCGAGGTAACTCGACCCGACCTACGTTCATGGCACAGCAGTCATCAAACAAAGTGACCGAGTTGCACAGAATACACAACATACTTCAATCGGCACCGTGCGCCGCCCGGCCACGCGGCAAAGGTAGTTCAAGTTTGCCCAGTGGCGTCGTCCGTCGTGCGTCTTGCCCATGGCTGGCCACTCGTCCATGGCATCTACGGACACATGAGCCTGCCAATGTTGCGAAAGTTTATCAAACCTGTGATGATGACGGGGCAGTTTTGTGTCATGTACGACGCCTTGAATTCAAGCAACGACGGAGCCTTGACGCGCTTCAGCGATGTGCACAATGGGCTGTCTGTCGTCAAGTTGGGGGTTAGCGCCGGGGGGAGCACTCCCACGGATGTCTTGGTCTTTTTTGCAGGGTGCGTCGAGTCCGTCGTGGAGGACGAGTCCACGTCAGCCACAATCTTGTCCATGGTGTCGTGGAGATGTCGGCCGTATGGACCTGCCATGAGCAGACCCGTGTCAAGGATTTCAATCGCTGTCTCGTGGTTGTTTAGATTGCCCGCGTCTGCTGGTTTGTGGAGATACGACGTTGCCAAGAGTTCGCATGCGATGGCAAAGCGCTGTCGCCACTGCGGGTCTACGTCGTTCCACTTTCCTTGATGAAGGCGGTCCCATATGCGATGGACAGCCTCTTCTGCTAACAGCCCAGCACGCTCCCAAGCCTCTTTGTCCGCCGACGCCGCAGCCCTCTCGAGCAGGACGTCTTCCACCTGCATCCAAGTTGTCCGGCGTATCCGGATTGTACGGTTGAATGTTGATGTCAACACAATCGACCTGCCAAACCGGCGCAAGAACGTCCGACATGCTGCGACTGCCAGTCCCTGTGGCCGTGTCTCTGGTGGCCGGTCTTGCTACCGCTTGGCATGCTATCCACTCCACGTCGGTGTGCTTCTCAGCTGTGTTGGCCGCCTCAGCCTTTGCCTGCATTGAGTTTACTTGGTACGCCACCACCACGGAACAACCCAACGGTGATTTGGCCTTCACGCCGTTCCAGCCAACGTGCCGCGCCGGGCATACAACGTGGGCACAATTCTGGGTGCGATCTAAACGAATTGCCCTCTGCTAGTTCTGAGTCGGTCACATTAGGCCAACGTGTTGTACACCCCCGTCCTCTTATTCACCTTTCGTCAAGTCGTGTCGTCGGCATTCGTGCGCGTCGTCCTGTTTCCGTGCAACATTTGGTTGCTCGAAATTGTCGAAGGGTATGCCTTGATGCTGCTGTTTGGACGCAACATTGCGTGGACGTATACAACGAACGATGCGTATTGCCATGGCAACATTCGACTTGGCTTCTGGAAACAATGGCTCGCCCTGGGCATCGTGCTGGAATGCGTTGGATACCGCGTCCTGGATACCCTTGGTGAATGGTGTGCAGCTTCATGCGTCCCATTAGAAGGAGTGCTGCTTGCTTTTGGCGTTGCTACGATCAAGTACGGCCATTAATGACAAAATGACCACCATGCCATTCTCACCATAACGTTTGGACGGTGAATCTGTGGACAAATCCTTGTGCCAATGCGACTCGGCGCTTCATACTGCCATGGATTGTCGCGGTAAAGCATACACAATCGTGAACAGAGGTAGTCCACGATGACCCATGTGGACTCGTGGTCACATTGTTTATGGGATGCGCTGCACACAACTCCACTTGTCAAGAGATGCCATGGAGTTTATAGTTACGACGTAAGCTCTTCCGCTCCAGTTGCGCGATATATTGTCCACACTTTGACCTGAATAGTCCCCAGACAGAAAACTTCGCCATAGATGCTGCTGTTTAACACCTCTGAACCTCTCCCTGCATTGTTCCATTTGGCACACACTCACTGATCGAACCATGTTCACTCGTTGATTCGAATGCACGGGCTTTGGGCATGCCTGACTGCTACGCTGCATGCCAACGTGTTCTTTTGTTGAGCCTTTGAACTCGCGCACCATGCCAGTCTCTTGCCTTTTCTGGGCTACAAACAAATTGACAGTCTGCTTCGACGTCGTCTGCGACTCCGTGTAGATGCCCACGTCCATCTTGGCAGCCTCGACGACCGAGAACACTTTTGACAACGCCAACAACTGCAACGACCCCAGCAACTGGAAGCGACACACGTGC